CTATCACAATAATTTTGTTGACCTTTTATTATAGAGTGCTCAATACAAACCTCCAACTGCTAACAACTGCTAGTAAGAACTGATGAACACATTTATATGAATAAATTTAAAATAGTTATTAATCCAATTTAAGAAATGTATATATATAAATATMWATAATCCACAGTTTCTTAACTGTTTYTACGCTATCATGTCATTTTCATATTTTTTTCAGTAAATTATTACTCGTTCTGATATTTTGGGATAGACATGAATTTTTAATCATTTTATAAAGATATATTTATATTGGTCTTGTAATAGTATCACATTTACACTGAACATTATGACCATTGTATAACAGGTTTTTTCTAAATTTTTGATTGTAAAAATAGCCTATGAACATTTATAAAATTTAACTCTGTTCCTTACATTTATGATTTATTGAATATAAATATTACAATTATGGAAAATAAAACAAAATAATTTTTAAGTGTATTATGAAAATTATCTTATATAATATTTTTTGTAATATTCTAAATTTATAAAGAATGTATGATTAGAAATAAACATTACATTTTCATTACAATATAATATATAATAAAAAAAACTAACCAACAAGCACATATCAATTATCAACTATAACATTAATAATTATCATATTATTTTGAATTTAATACTAGTTGATTGATGTGGTTAACAACAACAGATGTATTAAAATCAATGCTGTCATAACCATTTAAAAATATAACATCATTTTTTTTTTTTATCTTTAGTAAATATTTTTCATACTCAGGCCATGCATACTTATCAAAATATCCAGGTGGTTCGGGAGGCAAATATGTTCTAGTTACACGTCTATCCCAACAAATTTCTTTATCCAAAACAGTAAAAAAAGTTATATCTGCTAAATTAAGAATTCTAATATCATCAAGTAAAAGAATTCCTTCAAGCACTAAAATTTTAGAAGTTTGAGAATCAATTGCAGCCATCATTTTATTCATATCATAGGCACTTATTTTATCCCAAGCATGGTAATTAAGTTCTGGAATACTTTCCAAATGGTCTTCATATTTAGAATAATAAAAATCATCTTGATGTAATATTGAAATATCATTAAATGTGTTTGCTAGATGGTTGGCAATAGTAGTCTTGCCCCCACATGAAACTCCTGTGATAACAATAACTAATTGTTTAGCCATAATTTAATAATTTATAGCAACACAAGTATAGATTATAAGACTAATTATAAACAGCACACCAATTGAAACTGGCATTACCAGTGCATTATAAATGGATGGAAATAATTGATAAATAAATGATTCTGAATCAGCAAATGGTGGTATGAATAGCCAACAAGTAAAGTAAGCAAATACAGATAACACTATGACTATGATAACTTTTCCTAGAGTAAAATCATCCATTAGTTTTGAAAATATTCCCGTTCAAATTTCTCAAAATCTTCATCAGTAAATACAGTACTTTCTTCTTTTTTGGAATTTGAGATTTCAGAAGACGAATTGACTAAACGTTGCTTAATCTAAAATCCATAAAATAAATAAATCATTACAAAAATGAACTATACATTTTACATAAAATAATATAAGGTTGMAAAATTGTAGATATAAAACAAGGAACAATATTAAAATCTAATATGTAACCTACACATGTCAATTTACATACCAATAAAATTGTATATACTAGGCTTACAGGTTCCCTTATTAAAATTATTATCGTTATGGTTTTATCCTTAATTGTAAACGCTTACACATTTTTTGTGGTGAGATATGTTATGCACATGTCTAGTTTTGTGTTATATGAGTTTCAAATAACATCTATTATTCGTAGAACTAATACCACTTGTTTGCTATATTATTATACAAATTTACATATTGTTTTACAATACTTAAAATGTTTATTTTAAACTAGTCAATAATACTATAACAGTATTTTAAAATTGTAAATTGTTTGTATATCTTAAAATACACATAACTTGCTTTAAAATTAAAATATAATAAAAAGTCTAAGTATGAGAATAATGTTACATTTAATTTTTATAAGAGATCAATTCACTCTAAATTTTAAACTCAAAGAGCTGAACATGATCTGCTGAGCGTACAATTTAGTATGTTACCCACTTGTAAGACGGACACAAATGCGGATATAACATCCTCTTAACAATAAATCATAATCGATTAATCGATATATTCATGAAACAGTTAAGCTAAGACTTTATTATTGAGTCAGAAAAACAGGAGCACACACTCCACAAATTAAAGGATAAAGGTAAATTGTAAAATCCAAAGTGTCTTGTTTACTAAATACCTAGTGTAGACACAACTCTGAGAAGAGTTATCCAGAAATTAAATCCAAAAACTATTAAGGTATGATTTTATGATACTTATACATTCTTTTAATTTAAAACATTAATGATGTCAGTGCCAATTTTTTATAAATATAATATTGCTATTTTTAATGTCCTTTTTTAAAGTAAATAGTAATGTAACAAGATAAAAATAATTTAGATAAAGTGAATGTCATTCACATGAAAATATTTCATTTAACGAGTAACGGTGGTTATTACTTTTCAAAAATAATTTTAAAAACAATGCTATTTAGTTAAGTAATTGAAATATTTCAAATAAATTGCAAAGTAAGTATAAAAAATATACATACCAAGTTAGATGCAATGTTATTCACACAACTAGTTTTATCTAATTTATGTAACCGTTCTAAATTTAACTGCACCAAATTTAATTCCTTTTCATTTTTTATTTGTTCTTTTATTTTGAGAACAGATTTTCCAGCATCAGATTTCATAAAATTTGGTACTTTAAATACACTTTTGGCACGCTGTGATTTACTCTTAGATTTATTTAAACGACTGGAAGATTTGTTGACTGCAAAATCATAATATTAGTTTTTTTTYAAAATTAAAATAGAAAATATTATTAAAAATTACCAGATTTCTTTTGTGTCGGTTTTTGATTTGATARTGGTTGTTCTTCGAAAATCTGTAGAGCTTTTTTTAATGTAGAATAGGACATATTAACTGCATATATATTTTCTAGAATTTGAAAATTGGTATCTTCAAAACACGAAACTACATTTTTTTAATTCACTGTCAAATAAGATAATAAAAATATTAGTTTGTTATTAAGTTATTTAAAAATATTTTGATAACAATATAAATACGTACGAGAACATTTTGATTTCAATACACAAAAAAATAGGAATTGAATGAGCAATATATTATGAGTTTATGACAAATGACAGTCAGATGTTTCTTAACCTTTGGACTTTGACTTTAAATTCAAGTTATATTATACAACAATTAATATTTACTAACGAACTTAAATAATTAGCTATGTAATAACTATTTTACCATGGAATATGAGTTCGGCGTTCGGCGTTCGGCGTTCGGCGTTCGGCGTTCGGCGTTCGGCGATCGACAATCCGATGTCCGCGATCCGCATGTAAAATATTGTAATTTGTAGATGTAGAATAATATTATGTATGTACCATGTGGTAATCATAGACCTTATGGCTTATACTCATAGACGGATCATAACACTGTCTGGTCGGCAGGGTTGGGTGGTGCGGTCATAGCTATCATCTTAGCAGTGTTGACAGTGTTGTCATTTCTAATAACATAAAATATGTTTATTTATTTATATTATTAAGATATTAAGATATTAATGTTGTAACATAATTATTAGGGCTTGGTATTATGCATTTGCAAATTTCAAATTTACAAAACATTCGTCCGGAAAGCAAATAGAATAAATCTGATTCATTATAAATATGTTTTGTGGTGTCTGGATTTGAAATATAAAAGTTTTTTGCACATATTTAAGCAGTGGCGTATTT